TGCTGCTGCTGCTGCTGCTGCTGCTGCTGCTGCTGCTTTCGCCTTTTCTCTCACGGAGACCGCGGCGCAACGCAAAAGAAAAACAGAACAGGCACGACAGGCGCGAGCTGCCCGAGTCGCTTTCCTGGCCAGTAACCCGCTGGCGGAAGGAAGGAAGGAAAATCCTGCGAGGCTGATTGAGCTGCCGCCGTGCCCCCCTCCCCTTTCAGGGGGAAATCACTCGCTGGATTAAAAACAGCAATAACTATCTGCCTCTTGCTTTTGTTTGTAAGGCCGGCTCTTTTTCACCCGCCGCGGCGGCGATTCCCGAGCAACTTTTTGCTCGATCGGCAGCTTGGCGAAAGGTGGGTGATTGGCTGCCGTCGGGCTCGCGCTGGGAAAGGGGAGGGAGGGGAAGAAGGAAAGGGGGAAGGCACCCCACCACCTCCGCGCTCAGCTCCCAGCCGCAGCCTCCAGCGTTGGAATTGAACAGCTGTGATTCGCCGAGCCTCCCCACTTGGTGCCTTATATTGTTTTCCTCGCTGACACTCAGGCGAAGGGGGCGGGCCGGCGGAGCGCGCCGCCCAACCGCGGCTCGGCCGCTGAGTTCCTGGGGTAGCCGGGGGCGGGGCCTTTCTTGAAAGAGAGTGACAGCTCCCAGCCAGTCAGCTGACGAGCAGCTGGAGGAGAAGCCCGCGGAGCGGAGTTCCAGCCGCGCGGGTTGCGCTTTCTTTCTTTAATCTCCCCGAGTCTCTTCCCGGCCGCGCTCCCCTCCTTTCCGCCGCAGTTGGGAAGGGTGTCCTGGCCCTCCTTTCTTTTGCACCGCCCGCCCTTCTTCCTAGCTATTACGCGGAAATGTTATTTTGATTCTCGTTATTAATAATGTGGCCGCTTTTTTCCCTGGCCTGCGAAGCGTGATTTTGCAGCCAAGGAAAAGAAGGCGGTAATAAAGAGTTGCAATCTCTTCCTGCGGAAGGGAGGCGAGAGTTTAAGGTTGCCATAAAGTAAAATCAGGGTCCCGCTCACGCGTGTGCCTGAGAGCAGGCCCAGAGGTAAAGACACGGCGAGGGGAAAGGAGGTTTACCCTTGAACCCTCTCCACGCTTCTGGATGTCCGACCGAATGCCCGGGGAGGCGGAGAGCTGCCTACACCGTACAGCAAGTTTGCACAGGGCACCGAGTATCGAAGTTGTGTTTATGTAAAATAAAAGCTGGAATGAGGGACAGAAAAGAGATCCTAAATTTCGAATTACTTTAAAAGTGATCGAGCAAAACGACAGAGCTAATCGCTGGCTGAGATGAAAGGAGAGCGGGAAGGGGGAATTAGAATTGCATTTCGCTTCTGGGGACAGGCTGCGATTTTTTTTTTTTCCTTGCCTGCCACTATTGCATGCAAAGAAGACCTCATTCTGTACGGGATTTTTTTTTTCGTGGGGGGAGGGTTCACCGTCAGTATTTTTGTTTGAACATTTTGTAACGATTAACGAAGATTAAGTCTCTCGCGCGTTTTCTTCTCTCCCCCACCCGCTGCTCTGCTCCAAACGGACATAAAGCGCGACCCCAAGTGGCCAGACGAAGAATCGCACCCAGTAGGAGGGAAAAAACGCTCTCAGGTCTGAAAATGAAACGAAGCCCAGGTGTACAACGACCACATTGCAAGGACTAGCGAAGCGAGGGTTTCTGCGCCTTGAAACACCCTCTTCTGCTCAACTCAGGCAGCATTTTAAAACCAATCGGTCGTTCTCATGAGAGGCCATTGTTTATTCCTTCATCTACCTGCCACCCAGGGATATGCACACACACCCAAAAAGGGATTTTCTTGATCGCTTATTCAGATAACATGTGGTTAGATATTGATCCGATTGATCTGTGACCTCCGCTGCTTTTTATTCAGGTGGAGAAGAAGATAAGGTTAACGATGCAAAACACCGTCTTCTTTTAACAGGAAAGGACAGTGTGGTTTACCTTATACAGCCCAGGAAGCGCTAAGCTTTAGGCGCGAGGGAATGAAGAAGGCTTCGGCCGTAAACGTATTCAGGTACGGACCCTAACGTCAGAAACCCACGACTCTCCTGACTTTGTTTTATCCCAGCCCTAAACACGTGTATTGATGGAGCGATCTTGATGATGTGCCCTGACACGCTGCAGCCTACTCGCTTCGAAATGAGTGCTAGTGAATTCAGTGGGGTCAGGTGGCCTTGCTTCCAGGAGGTTCGGGGACCTGGGACGGGAAGGAGGGGGGTGGCTTCTCTTGGGAGGCCTCCGGAGGTCGAGAGAGGTGACCGGCACCCTTTTGTGCGAAAGGATTTTTTTTTTTTTTTTAAACCGAGGGCGATTGCTTCTGAGGAACCAGGTAACAGGTTCCCACAATACACCTCCCCCTCCCCACCTGGTAAGAGCGAGAGAAAACTTGCAGGCCGGAGGTAACCAAGTTGCGAGCCGTCGACCTAATGCGCTGGTCCAAATGAAAAGGCAAACGGGAGGGAAAGCCACAACAGAGATACATATCGGAGTTTTCGGGCGAAAGATGACTGCCAGCTTCCTTCCGCCTGAGCCAGTGGGCACCTTCCTGGTTCTAGAAAGCCTTCCTTTGCCCCCGGCTAACTTCCCGCGCTCGCTCCTAGGGAAGAAACAACGGAGGTCAGCGGGTGCCTGCCAACAAAGGGAACTGCAGCCTTAAAACTTTCCGCCTTGCCGCCTGGCTGAAGTTTCTCCTCCTTGATTTTGCTTCCCGGCCAGCTGAATCGTTCCCAAGCAAGTAGCCCCGGCTCCTCTTAGGCACAGGGTGAGAACGTGGAAGACAGCGGCCCGAGTTCGGATCCGGCAGGAGCCGGGCTCGGCGGGCTAGATCCTTATGGGCCGCGGCCCTCCTGAGTTAGAGGCGGAGGGTGGAAGACTCCGCAGTCAGAATTCCGGGAAAAGAAAGTGCCTTCGGCCCAAGGAGGAGTCTGGGGTCCAAGGCACCCAGGCGGTGTGGTTCCTGCGATATTTACCGGGAACTAAGTGTCACTAGAAACGGGCGACCCCTCTTTTTAAAGGTAGCTTGGGATCGAGGCCTTAACTTTGGCTACATGTAGGCTTGTCAAATTGCAGGGTGGCCTTGTTTCTTCGTGGGTTCAGTGGGAGAGACCTGCCCATTCAGCTTCAGCCCAGTTAGGATCGCCTGTCCTTAACGTATGAAGAAGATCCCCACGGGCTTGCTACTGATGTCTATTATTATTGTTATTATTGCTATTGTTGTTCGTCATATCATTCCCCAACTATACAAATCCTTTGATTTTACAGCCCAATCCTAAACATTCGTGCTCCGAAGAAATTCCCACTGAGTTCAATTCCCACCCGAATCAAGTTTCCTGCCTTGGGATTGATAAACTATTGCTGGCTGAATCGGGACGATCAGTTTCCGGAGTATTATTTGCGAAAGATCGTCCTCCTCTTGCTACTGCATTCAAGGGTAGCGTTAGGGAACCTCCTTGAAATGCACAGCGTGAGATGTGCCTACTGAAGTGCTCGCAGCAGCCTGGTCATCACACAGTCCCAAGATTTGGGAGTGGGGGCACCAAAGACTTTGTCCAAAAAGAAAACGCTTGGTTAAGGCGGCACCCTGGCGGGAGAGCGAGAAGCCCGAGCCCTTCCCTTCCTCGCCGGAAAAGAAGCTGCCCTTCGTCGCACATCCCA